TAAGTCGCGATAGGGCGCAGAGCGGAGGCAGCTAAATCAGCAGCACAGGCATGGAGACAACAGAAATACGGGTGGCGGGAAGGGATTATGGGAAGCTTACTTCGACAGTCAACCAGTCTGGTGTCGGAGTCCGGTTTGAAGATCATGATGCTGCAGTCCAGGCTGCCAGAGGCGAGGAGGGTGCTGTTGGGATTCCAAGCCAAGCAGGTCACTCGAGCCGCATGGCTGCGCCACTCGTGGACCAACGTAACCAGCGGGGAATTATCACCACCCGACGAGGAATTGACCTGTAGAAGAAAATGGGGGAGCGGGGGGAATAAACGACTTCAGGCAAGTACTTCAAAGCATTTGAGAGCTCAAAAGGAACAAAAACGCTTGTGTGCTATCTAAGTCACCTTGGAAAGAAGATCTAGTCATCATACACCCAATGAACTGGGAGATGGCCGTCCACGGTCGTTTTAGATAAAAGCATACACAGAGAACCCACAGCTAGCACGATTATTCGAGACTTATGGATTAAGTTTAATAAGACGCCGTGCTAGCATTATCGACTGCAACTATAGCTGAGTGTTCAATAGGCCACAAAAACAGACAAGGGAATATAAAGCTCCCAGTAATGCAGGTGGCCTTACGGTAATATCCGATACGCACAAATTTCTGCCCCAGCTTTAACGTTAACCCTAATCTATTTGAGACTTGGGGGGCTTCTAGTCCCTTGTCATACGGGCCAAACAACAAACTTACACTGATTAACTGGTGCGGACGAGAACTGCACAGGCCTCAGAAATAAAATTAATCTGCGTTTTGTAGTTTGGATAAAACGGGGACGTGACGGCTTGGTCTAGGCATAATGGAACACTAGCGAACAGCTACTGCATTTTCCGAAATCATACATAAAAACGTGTCTAAACTAGAAAGTGCAACTTCAGAAAGGATAGCTCCCTCCCCACCTAGGAGGGAAGTCAACACCTAAATGCAATTCAGACTTGTTAAAGGATTTGCTTGAGACGTGGACTAAAGTCCCTGATTTAATTATCAAAAAAGACTGCCAAAATGCCACAATTTTATTAGCTCCTTTAATTTGGACAAATCAGGAAAGATGTCGGGTATGCGCAGACTAAATAAGACTGTGAAGAACGTGTGGCTGGGAGGTGGAACACAGGTCTAGTTGTGTAGCGAGGGAAAAGGGGGTCAGAAGTGGACTTGGGGTTAATTATCACAATCAAAGATAAATACAACAGTCTAAGTTTACCTGGTAGAGACGAAGATGGCGTTCGGAATCACCGACAGCGAGATACTTTTCGTTAGGCGAGAAACCCATTGTGGTTGCTGTTCCCTTCATCTTTTCAGAGACGTGGGGGATAGGAGAAAGACTCTTTCCATCCTTGGTGGAGTAGAAGAGGAGAGTTCCGTCCTAAAAATACAGAATGGACGATCTATAAGACTTGGGTATAACCAATAATATCTGAAAGAGTGTGCTTTTTTCCGCGCCAACTCTCCGGTGGGGAGGAGTTTCCGTCTCAGGGTAAATTTCTTCCGGTTCATCGCGCGACTAACCAATTAACTTAATAGTTTGACAACCGCAGGAGCGGCGCTCACACAGTCTAACAAGCGCTTTCGCCACAATTTTAACGATACAAATAATTACATTTCGATTAGTTTTAAGACAATCTTATGAGAAGACGGAGGAAGGAAAGTAAATTTAAAATCTCAAATAGGTAAATTAGGTCAACCAATTGCAGTGACAAGGCCAGCAACAAGAACTAAATGTCCGAAGTAGAACTATGACAGAGCCTTCGAGGATGAAATGTGCTGGGTCTGCAGCACAGTCAAACCCAACGAAACACGGAGATGTTCTTAGCAAATATGAATGATTTCTGGGATTCGGCAGACCCTCGTCGCTCAGATGGCTGAAGCGTTGGCCTGGTGAGCCCGTGTGTGCGAATCCTAGCGAGGCCGTCGAGTTTTTCACAATTACGCCAAAAGAATTAGTAAACTCTGTCAACACAACCTATTAATAAAGTGATCCTGGTAGTTATTTGGTGGAATGTATTTGGACTGCCTAGGCAATCCTGTATGAGCAGTCAGCCTACTGTATCAGCATTGGTGGATTCCATACGTTGCAGTAGGCTGGGCGGGTAACTATACCCAGGTGTGATTCAACTCAGGGCTCTTCGTGGGGCCTCGTAGCTCAGCTGGCTGGAGCATGGGTTTTTTCTTCTGGTCTGCCCCCTCCCCCCCCTCCCTGCTGCGGCTTAGAATCCTACCGAGATCGCCAACTTATTCAAAATAAGGTCAAATGAAAGAATGGTGGATTCCATACGAGCGTTAAGTTGGGCGGATAAAGTCGATCCAAGTGTGCTTAAATTCACGGCACACGGCGTGCGTAGTAGTAGCTCAATCGGTAGAGCGTTGACTGCGTAAAGGCCTTCCCTGCTGTGCGGGTTCGACTCCCACCGAAGCCGCGATTTTTTTCACAAATGGGTCAACTAAAATTAGGCAAATCTGCCAAAAAAACCTAACAACGAAAGAACGGGAGCTTTGACTACAAGCTGAAATAGGTTTGGCAAAAATATAAATACTTAAAACAGGCCAAGAGTCTGGGTAAGTTATAACATACTACTTGTTGATGGCTTTGCCATAAAATGGTTCGCGAGGGAGTCAGTCAATAAAGAGGCAACCGAAGTAAAAACTGATTTCTTTTGTGAAGTAGGGTCAACAGCGTGTTGCAACAAGCATTGATTGAGAACACGACAGACCAGCTACTGTACATAAACCCAGTTCAAGTCCTCCATGACGTCACCTTGTCCTTGGAAAGCGATAGGAGAGAAGAGAGACCGGTCCTTAGTTAGCACAAACTTGTACTACTGTTTAGAGCATGCGAAGTCGTTGACTAACGAAATACTCAGGTCCCTGAGACCCAGAACGCCTTCATAACACACGAAGGCCACGACCCGTTTAGTTGGCTTCATAGGCCAAGTACAGACTGATTTTTAATCAAAAAAGTAATGATGAGATAGGTAGTACAGGCAAGATTCCGGTTTCGCCGGGCCCATGAATGGAATCTTAGTTTGTAAGGAAGCCCCCACTTGATTACGGGCAGCACTTATTTTCATAATTGCGCTCTGGCCCGTGGGTAACCAATTTGCCAGATCAGAGCTCAGCCACACCGTGGCAGATTATTCGTAAGATTCAAGTACCTACTTGCTTCGTAGGTAGCCATCGTCGAAGACTGTTCCATCATCTGCCACTCAGGAAGACGTCGGTGAGTTGACAGCTAGAATTACAGACAGGCTCGGGCTGCCCAGAAAGCTTCGATTAGGGAGGCAAATCGTCACGTGCTGTAGCACACGTAGACGAATGCGAACGCGCGGCTAGTCACAACGCCATGGGTACATAGGGTGGTGTAAGACATAACTTAACAAGCTATAACTCGCTGCATAATTAACTGAACTAGCCAACTAGACTTAGCGGATACATTAGGGGACAAATTCTTCTTTATGATAAACCTTTTGAGAACATGGCTTTCCCGAACCTTTTAGTATGCCACAGCCTCTTATTACCACGTCATTTACAGGCCTTTTTGTTTAATAATATTGATTTATTAAGCTAAAGTATACATCTCTTCCAGCATGCAACACACGAAAAACATGCCAGAACACCTGTACCTCAGCAGTTTGCTGCGTCAAAAGCGCACGAAAAGGCCGACAACAGACCTGCTTAAAGACAACTGAACATCGCTCATCCGCATGATCGTTAAAGACGTCTCACAGGCACGTCTGATGAGTCATTTCCGAAGCCTACGATGGGTCAGCCGCGCTTCTATCGTGTGGCTGGTGCCTTGGTCAAAATGCTAGGCCTTACCGTCCACAGGGTGCTGAGTCCGTTAATGGGGAGGGGAGGCTCTTTATGACTGTATATTGCCTGGGTCAAACGACCGACTTCCGCTCAGCGGTTCTCCTGCTTTACCACTAGACATGTTGACGGCGAACATAAAAGCGGCAATGACATTTACGCACACACACCCCCGCATGCCCTTGTGTGAGTGAAGCATTCCTTCACTAGAAACAAGACATAGTCATTGCGTACAGACAGAGTTTCACGAAGACACGAATACGGTCAAGCTAGTGACCGCGTTACCTACGCTTATCGGCAACGTTCTACATAGACAGCTACCGTGTGCACGACACAGTGGCGGACACCAAATAACTCCTACAGAATAATTAGTAACAGCGATATTTACGTGCGGTTGACCAGAGGGAAGCCAGCTTAGGCGTTCCTTTTTTGGCAGGAAAACACAGACGGCGGAGTTCGAGGGTATGATTTTAGAGGAGATGAGGCCAACTTACACGGTAAGTTCATATCTCAAGGATAAATAAATAGAAGGCGGAAAGTGTCATGTAAACTAACCATGTTTTTAATCCGACAACAGAGGCAAACAAAAATTTTCCAAGGAATAACCGTGCTAACGTGTTCTAACCGGTGAGTCAAAAACTCTAACTGAGTCTGCCGAGTCACTACGACGCGAGAGAAGCAGGAGTTGCAGGAACTAAGTGGTGGCGAAGGCACCCGAAAGCCCTCAGTCACGTTGCAGTACGACAAAACACACCTGTACCCTCAGATTCTACCTATGTCAGGGAAGTAGTTAATCGAGGAAGTTTATGGCTTAACAATTTACCCATCATAGTCGTTAACCATAGGAATCATTCAAACTACATCAGGCCTGCCAATGTGCGTGTTTTTATGGTTTACACAACATGCTACTGCGATGATTACGAAAGCCAAGCTGAAGTTCCTGAAAAAAAAATCCGCATAAACAATTGATTTCAGGGTACTTCTGAGAATGCATTCCGTGTTTAATAGTTGATGCATAATAAGCATTGCTGTTTATTTCGTATGACACTTCTGCGCCTCATTCAACCCAACCGCACTCAATGCACGCATAACTTACGGTCGGCGCTTTCTGCAGCAAGACAGCGCCATTAA